ATGCCGAGGAGACTCGGGGTTTTTCGTGCGCTCATTTCTTTGCCGTTGTGCCAGAAGCAAAGCGCGCTATATTTCGCGTTACCCATCAACTGGGCCATCTGTTCTCGTTAGTCGTTTCAACAACGCACGAGAAATTGCAAAAAGAAAAAAAAAACACAATTTAAAAATTTGAAATGCCAGTCAGTTTTTTTTTTCCCCCACAGCTGCCGCGTGGTACGGCTACGTTGGTGTTTAAAATAAGATTACCCGCCTTAGTAGCCGCTGGTGGCAGCCCAAAACCCGCGGTGACACTTGATCATAGAACAGAGAGACTGCGGACACGATCTGAAGCACGTTTCTGCCTCGTACATGACGAGCCCTGTCACATGACTCACAGTGTATACGACACGTTCGAAGCAAACGCGATTCGAAGATGCCCGAGGCGTGTCGCAGATAGTTCGATCCTACACGTGTGCCGCGAACCCCGCGTCTTTTGTGCGATGCATGAGCGAAGGAATGCCAAACTAATCTTCTAATACTCAAGGCCAACTAAAAATTAAAAAAAAAAAAAAAGAAACCCGCAGAGCGTGGCGTTACCTTCGAATTTCTTAAAGGGACACCACTGGCAGGGTAATTATAATAGCCGAGGCGTTTTTTTTTTTTTTTTCGTACACGACATAGGAGAGCCTGCAACTAACCAAAGCGCAACTTGCGACTCGAATTTATTTATTTTTTCTTCCTCCCGAGAAGCGCCGATCTGGCCGGTGTGAATCGTTGACCGAGCATTTGATCTTTATTTTTATGTTGTCATCTCAAGTACGTGTCACACATTTCGGAACTGCTTCCGTGGCGTTTAGCCAGACTTTACTCAAATATATATACATATTGTAACGAAGAAAATAAAAACTCCTCTTCTCCGTTGATGGAAGATGCTGATATTAACAAAGACGACCGTTTATTTATGAAATATAGACAAAGACTCTTTTACATGACTTTGAACATTATATAATTTGAGATTAAACTTTTGGGGGGAAATAATCCTAACCTACGGAAACTTTCCCTGCCATCCTCCTTGACCACACACACCCTCAACCAGGGCCCTGACCACAGCCCAACTCGACAAACGAGGTTCCACACAAAGGCGGGCGAGCCGAACTCCTCCACTGCCGTTAGGGGTACCAAGTTTGCGAGCTAGCGGGTGGACGGCCCCACAGCCGAAGGGGGGGTCGGACCTGCAGGTGGGTTTTTCCGGAGGACGGGAGATTTCCAGGGCTTGGTATCCGGGAGCCAAGGTGGCCGCTTATATTGGGTTCAGCAGCATTCTGGGGTCCTTCAGTCCACCAATCAGAAAGTTTTGGAAGGACCAATCTAGAGGGGTTTTCTGAGCACCAATGAAAAGGCTCGGAGCCCAAAGCAAATACGAACATTCCAAAAACCAGCGCATACACGAGACAGAACACATTCCAAACGAAGCTCACAAGAGCAGCCATAAACAATAGAAAGCACATTCGTACGTAGACAGAGAAGTTACACATACACAGCGCAAAACCACCTCCGAAGTAGAGATCCCAAAAGCAAACATACACAAGGCAAAACACTTCCAACGCGGGGTTCTGTAAACTAAGTGTAGCGTTACAGCGTTCGCGTTCTCCCCCATTTGGGGCCCCCCGACTCCGGTGGAATCCAACAGCCGTCCCGTGTAGACGGAAAGAACTCTCGGAGAAGGCAAAAAACATAAAGTGAAGCTAGACTAAATACTCACGCGAGGAAAGCTTCGCGACAATATATATATATATATATATATTTTACGCAGAACGTTTGATTAGTTGCGCGAAAACTGTTTTTCGCTGAACGACACGGATGCTCCGGCGTGAGAATCGAACGGACACGGGAGACACACGAGAGACCCTCCCCAGACGTGGCCGCTTCCACGCGACGCTTCTCGAAACAGGAAACGACGGGAACCGTGGGAACGACGTACACGAGCATTACACACAATAGCGCAGCTTCGATGGCTTCACCATCGGAGCCATAAAATACTCGCCCACGGAACTCTGCTGATGTGTGTCCATGGACGAAAGGATTGCGTTTGCTCGATGGTAGCAGCAAGGCGCTGCTACGTCAAAAGGTCAGTACCCGGAAAACGAATGAATGTGACCATGAATGCCCACTTTGGTTACCCTGCGAGCAGTTCAGCTCTTTACACTGACATTGAGCCTGACGTTTCAGTCACACTCAAAGTCACAGCAAGAGCTGCATTATTTCTTCTAAATCTAAGCGTATTTGATGCCCCGCCCTTCACCGAGTTTCTTCGGTATATCGCAGCCATTTGCTCTCTCTAATCCTCTAAGGCAAAGTAGACATACCACATCCGTAGGGCGTCCGCTTCCAGACAAATTGCATCGAAATGCACTCTCGTTAAAGGGATGCTGTATCAAACATTTCAGTGGCTATAATAAGTGGCGCACTATCTTTCCATTAGTCAGCAGCCGCCGGTGTGCGCCAGCACACGCAACGAAATTGACGTCATCATATCCCCCATTTACGCTTAATAAGCACGAATGGGTGATATGATCACGTCAACTTCGTTGCGTGTGCAAGCGCACACCGGCGGCTGCTGACTCATGGAAAGAGAGTGCGCCACTTGTTATAGGCACTGAGATGTTTGGTTCACCATCCCTTTAAATCCCCCCGCATAAAGGGATCAAAGTATACACCAACACGCGGCTCTAACTTGACTGTGCATGTCCGCCTCTTCGCGCAAACCTCATTTCTGCGCAAGCGTAAAGCCCACGCTCGGTGTGGGTGCACTCTGACTTGTTTGTAAACAGTGTGTCAGCCTATACATCGACAGACCGGACGCTCGAGTAAGGAGGTAGTACATTTCCTCGCGGCGCAGACAGTTCTCCAAAAAACGCCCCCATTGATGCCGACACTGGGGCGTTAGTTCATTTTTTCGTGTAACGGTGAAAGGTAAATTTCACCTGTAACAGCAAATTTATTCGGCCACCACGTGACTTCTTAGGCAGCGAACGCCGAAGGTATACATACATATGCACACATATATACAACAAAAATATAGCGCAGGATGCCGCAATTTGCGGCATCCTACGCAAAGTCGCAATTTGAAACCTTGGCGTTTTAAAGCATTTAGTGAGTCGACGTTTCGGCCCGGGACAGGCCTTCGAGACTCGTTGCCAACATCGGTTACAGAGTCGTTTTCGGTTTCCACGCCTGGGTCGCGTCACGTGTCGCATCACGTGTCAAGCTGCCCAAGCTCACAACAATGCTATACTCAGCCTCACCCCACGCCCGGCCGCAGGGGACGCCACGAGCCATCGGAGCCAACCGAAGGCCGTGCCAGTTTCCCGTCACCTTCGAAAGGAAGTGCCGCCGTCACGTACACAGAGCTGGATCGACTCGAATGGCCCGCAACGTTCGCCGCGGCCAAACGAAAGGCGAAACAAAGCACAGTCGACCAGAAGCAACTACGCCCAATAACGCAAAAAAAAAAAAAAAAGAATCCCATAGATTTTTGTTACAGACAACAGGCTTCGCTTCATTGTGACAGAGGAAGGCGCCGTTTGGCGAGGCTTCAAATGCTGATAACGACAATTCGCTCTATAAACCTATTATATAATGCTTTCGTATTAAAAAAAAAAGAAGCGCGCAGCTGACAGTGTAAACGACACTCACCCAGAAAATTAAGAAAGGAGCAACACGTGGCAAATGCCTGTCGAAGGTCATGGCCCGTTGACCCGTCGACGCTAAGCCGTCGACGGGTAATACGGAAAGGTACACGGGAAAAAGGCAAGGGTTGAACTGACAATATTAAATTGGCTACATCCATTCCGTTACAGGTGGATCGAGGGTGATTATTGCATGCATAGATGACAGGATACCGAGATCTTCATTGATCCCGGCCTGGATTTAATTAAATTTGTAAAGATGAAAAGATTCTCTCTGCTCGCGATCACGGCTGATTTTGAAATTTGATAAAAAAAAGGTAACGTTCAGTTTGTCAATTGTGTGTTTGGGCAATTAAAGCAGCACGTTTTGAAAGCGGGAGTTCGGGAAATGATGCGGGGTGACGCAGGGCTTGGCATACGGTGTTCACCATGAGAGTTTCGCGATAGGTTCTTTGCCGGTCTTATCTGCGAATGCCGAAACCTCATTGGATGCGACGATAATTGAGGCTCAGGACTCGCCACGCCCGATGCATAAGCTGTCGGCGAGACTAGCGACGTGCAGGACCAAAAGCGTCTCTGTGGGCCAACTTCGCGATTGGCCAAACCGTAGCTTCCTGTATGTGATAATAGTTTTTAGGGAACCGTTTTTGCAAGTCCGAGACGGGACGATGTGCCCTCCGGTACAAACTGCGCACGTGTGCCGAAGGGCCCATCGTACCCTATCGGATGTGCAAAAACGGTTCCTCAAAACTCTACGAACGACTTTTAGCAAACCGTTACCGGAAACCGTTAGAGGGCGCCACCGGAACATACTGGCAACAGTAACTTGGAAAGCGTCTTTCCCGGTACGACACGAACAGCTTATGTTTCGCTATGATTCTAAGTAGATGCTTCGATGATTTCTTGAACGCTTGAAGTGTAGGGGTTCAAACGGGTCGCTGTTTTGCTTCATGACTGTACAACGACAGCAGCTTTGAATAAAACGCAGGATAGATTCCCCTGCCAAGCCGTGCTAGAGGTTGCACCCCCAGGTGTCAACTCGGAATGAAAACAACGTCTACCGTGTGCGCGCTACGAAAGGGACTTATCAGTGTACTGTCACGCTATTTTCACGAGGAAATACACGAAGGATTATTTCGGAATGCCAACTTTAAAGCAGGCGCCGCCATCCAACAAAAACGACGCAAAGGAGAGGAGCGGGTATCTACCGCATATCAGTGCGTAGCGAAAACTGGGGCCACCTGGCGACCGAAAGGAGTAGAAGAATGGGCAAAAGGCACGCCGCTGGGAATTGCGAATACATGTTTAAATACAAAGGTATCGGCGGCGTACCTTGTCGGCCTCTTGAACATCAGCGATCTTCTTTCCAGTGGCCGGGTTGTAGGTGGGGAACGTTTTCCCGCTGACCGAATTCACGAACTCGTTGTTGATGAAGATCTAGAAAAAAAAAAAAAATGTCACAGGACGAATTATTTGCTGTTTTTTTTACTATACACGAGGGCTCTAAAATTTTAAGATGCCGTGTTTTACGGAGTACAGTCCACTCCTGAAATATTGTCAGCAAGGACAAATTTCAATAATAAAATATTTTTCTTGAAATAGTCCGCGCGCTAAAAAAGAAAAGTATTCAACACAATACAGTTTGAAGACTGCCCGCTTTATTAGCCATATCATAAATAATTACCATATTCTGTACTTCACAAAATACATTTCAAATGTATTTTTTTCAAACAAAACAAAACAACGTTTATGTAGTCGCACAACGTAGACGTCCAGAATTTGAAACATGCATAGTCCCCGGGCTATGCGCGGGTAAATACGATAATACAATGAGTACGCCTAAAGATAAAGTACACTGCGTTGACATAAGCAAGAACGCGACGGCTGCGCTTTTCTTTTTCTTTCTCATATTTTGCGTAAACATGATATTGAAAAGCCCTAGACAATCAACCCCTTGGGTTGATTATCTGAACTCGCACTTCACCTGAGGCCAGTAGTTTTATGAAAAAGCATTTAATCACAAGAAAAGAAAAGAAAGAGCCAACGCTTGTTTGCACCAACAGTGTCCCGCTCTGTACATAAAACAATGCTTTCAATAAATTGGGTAGTTGCTCTCCCTATGTAATATACCACTCCTATAGCTTAGTGCGCTGACAAGCAATAAGAGATTTACACGTAGACAAGGCTATCAAAATAGATGAATGACTGACGGCATAGGAGTGCTGAAATTTTTTATTTGCACTCTAAAACAAAATAAAAATATATTGGCCCATACAATAGTCACGAACGAATCGCCTGTCATTTTAGCTCAATTTGGGGGAAAAAGAAGAGGGGGGGGGGGGGGGGGTTGTCGGTTGCGTTCGCGATGCATTTAGAGCAGATTTATGCCATATAGGCTGACCACTTTGAACATCAAAGACAAAACAGAATAAAGTGTTAAGAAGGTTTCCTAGCTATTTCATTAAGCACATTCAAGCTGACCAGTGGAATGACAAGCCATGCGAGATTCATAGTGAGCTTAGGCCAAATGATTCTGTAATCAATATTTAGGCGAAGCAGGGGGAAATGTCGACTCGCTTTTTAAAACCTAGATGCACAGCCGCAAAAAAAAAAAAAAAAGAAAAAAAAAAAAAAAAGCGCCCATCGATATTTGAATTCGCCAACAAGAAAAGTGCGAGAAAAAAAGGAAAAAAAGGACGAAATTTGACGCTGTGTGATCGGACCTCTAGCTCGTAGCGTCTGAACCTAAAGTGCAACAAACGATGGAAACAAACACATAAAAAATAATATTAAAGAACTTTTTTTTTTTTTAATTCCTGGGAGTATATAACGCGTAACGTTAACTACGTTACCCGTTACTCCAAAAGAGTAGCCTAAGTACGTTACCCGTTAGTGCTTTCAAAACGTAACGTATACGTTACTACGTACGTTACGGAAGAAATGTAATGCGTTACAGCCAACACTGCTTTTTAAAATGGGTCCCAGCAAGAATACAAGAACATTTCACCCGCGGAAAGGCGAACCGAACGGTTTAGGGCTTCTCATCAATCGAGTGGTTGGTGGCGCTTCAATCTCCGATGCGCTGAACATCGTCCGACCGAGGCGGTACTACCACGCCCATAGCGTCGCAGGTGCGGGGCTATTCGATCCGAGGATCCAGTGTATCAGAACATCGGATGGATGCATCTCCCAATTCAGGGAGTATATGTAGTTACATCGCGCTGAAAACGTTGGACAGCGGTACACTTACCTGAGTGAACTTGACGGGAGGATTCCTGTTGGGAGCCATGATGCCTGCGAATTCTGTCCGGGCGGAGCGTGAGAAATAAACAGAATAAAGCGAACGCTGCGGGGAGGAGGCCCTTTTATAGCCGAGATCCGAGGCCGCGTGGCGCCATCTACGGGGGACGCCGGGCGACGCGGGTGGTGCGAGGGGCTGCCCTATCTTCGTTCGTATCGGCTCCAAGGGTGCAAAACGTGCACCGGAAGTCGTCTTTTATCTTACACCTGCTCCTCTGCAGTGCTCTTATCAGAGGGGAGGTGCTGTTATGGCTGTCTGGGTGTCGCATGACTTTCGTTTGATATAGGTTGCTGAGAAAGAGTGACCAGCTGGGTTAATAAGAATAAAGTAATACAGCGCGCACGCGTTGCGAAAGCAAACTGGACGGATGCGCGAGTAAGCGAAGAATGTGGATCCCCCGGGATTTAGGAATATATATGTATATGTGTTCCATTGTGCATCCACGACAAACCGAAATAGTTCTTGGCGGTTCCCATCATTTCTCATACTTTTACAAGTATTCTTTCAGACTTATTTAAAAAAAAAAAAAAGATAATTTCTGGCATTTTAATTCTTACAAGGAAAACATGTTAATGTATAGAACCTTGACACAATACGCTTAAGCATGGAAATATGACGGGTTGTTTATTAATTTTTTTTTTTGTTAAAAAGAAAGCTATGTTATAAATTGAGATATTGAGTCTGCTTGGGTACTAGCTTTCGACCAGACTAGGCACCTGTACGCTGCCTCCTCCTTTGTATTTTCGCAATATGCTTCGAAACGCGGGTGAAGTGATAAAATATCTGGCCTTCTGAAAAATTCATCTATTAACTGTTAAGTTTTCAAAATAATGTTTCACAAATCTAGAGGGGCGTACGAAAAATGTGAAAAAAAAAAAAAAAGGTTTGAAATGAAATAATAAATTACTTCTCAAACTCTTCGAAATATTAACATGACACGATTACTCATATGTTTAAAACACCGGTTGTAATTGATATTCAAATATGCTTTAAAATTGCCTAATATTTTAAAAATATCCCCTAAAATAAATTTAACATACAACGAGAGAAAAGAAACCATTATTATATAGCACTGCCATGTCCGATCAACTTTTTTTTTCATAGGCACATTCAATCATCAAATCGGTAGTAAATAAAAAAAGAAAAGAAAAAGATTGCGAGACAGTTGGAATGTTTAATATCCTTTTAAAGACGTGGACGACCCCTGAAAATAAAACATGCTACTTTCTTGATTGACAGATATGGTCCGTCTATTGCCATAAGCATTGAAACATGGCTAATTTCCAGATATTAAAGACTCACTGTCGGACCGTAGCCTCAAGTACGAGATCTTCATGTCCAAGCTAGAAGTGTACTGCCATGAGGAGCTACGTAGTCATATCTGTTTGTTAACATGATCGAACTAGCGGTTGCAGCTAGGTAATGGCGTATACACTTCCGAAATCTGCAAGCAGTATTTTTAATAAAAAAAATTAAGCGGTCCTTTAATCTGCCCAATTCCGGTGTAGTAACACACCGCGCGTGCTCCGCGAACAAACACGTGCACGCGTAAGTGCACCAACAGGCCCCCCAAGAAAAAGAAGACAAGAGGAGCAGATATTTTTTGAAATGGGAAGACACACAGAGGCGCGTGCAGCCTTGTTAAGAATTATAGTCTGCTCCGTCGCGCCTAATCTTTCCTCAGGGAAATTCGCGAGCCACTTGGTGTTCTCCTAGCAGAAATAATAAAACACAAAAAGGACGAGAGAGGCGGGCACATTCCTTTTTAAAAGATGTGCTCGTCTTTATCTCGTTCTCTCTTTTATTATTCTTGTAAGAAGCATACTTATGCCTACAGGCTCGTTACGAATATAAGTTGTTCACCATTATAACTGTCAACTTATCAGGGCAGGAGACTCAGACTACGTGTTCTAATCGCGTAGAAGTGCGCGTGTCTGCCACGTCTGGCGTACGCTCCTATCTTATCGCACGCGCTATTTTGAGGTCTAAACCGGAGACGCCGTCAGGAAATACAAAACAGCCGTACATACTCGCCAGAACTCTCGGAGTTATCGCGTATAGCGGCTCAAGAAATGCAACCACAAAGGGTCGTAGCTGCGTGACTCACCACCTCTCAGCATTGGAAATGGACATTTGAAAGAGCTTGCACTCGGCCACTGAGCGCGTGCGCGTCCACAAGACTAAAGTCCCTCGACAAAATGCACGCTTACAAGTACGACCAACCATTGCCGTGGAAGCGAGCGAGACACGTGTCACGAGCGGGTGCTCTGCTGCCGTTCGCTTCCAAGGGTCGCTCATTTGAGTGCTGCGCCTCCATTTGCTTCCAAGTGCCGCTCGAGACACGGGCCTCGTGCATTGGCGCATTGGACCATAGCCTCCTATATACTGACAAAGCCTGGCAGATCGCCACGAGAAGCGGCCTACGAAATGGAAAAGGTGGAGCGGCAGACAACGAATGAGAGGAGAGCGTGACTGGCGCCCCGCTGCGGCGAGACGCCGAAACACACTTTTCCCGAGCGAACAAGTGTGTTTCGGGTCCTCGCCGCGGCAAAAGCTGTGCGTTGACGTCCAGGTTTCCCTTGAAATGGCTTTTTGATGCTCTGTGCTACCAGATCCTCGCGCTCCAAATCTGCGACGGGGCACTGTATGACTCCGTCGTCGAACTGCCAGGCTTCGTGTGCATAGAGAAGGCTATGATTTGACGCCACCTGCAAGACAAACGCAGACACATCGAGGTGTTTTACAAAAGACGCGATCATCAAATGTTGGATTCGGCGTCTACAAGACGAGAACATAAAAGCGGCGTTTTAGCGTTCGATCAGGCATGACCCACTTTCGAATGCTAGCGTCCGTCAGCGTCTGTTCATTTGCGAAAAAAAAAAAAAAAACATTTCGCGGTTTTAGTACGTTATTGAAACGCAAACAATGCATTCTTTTGAGCAGTTTTGTTTATGGTTTCTTCCATGAAACATGGTCTCTGATCAACGACCTGAGCGATACTAAGAGGTCCTCGGCTAGTGATAATCTGTTTTTTTCGCATTTTTCTTGTGATGAGCAAAATGTTGCCAATGATTTTAGCAACTTTTTTTCCCGGGTGTCGGGCATCGCTAAACAACACCCAGACTCCTGTTCTTTGCTAACTAATGTGTTGGATTCGGCGTTCCTGCCCTTATTGTCCCAAAACGACCTAAGGTCAATTATTTTTAGCCTTAAGCCTAACAAGGCTGCGGGCATTGATGGCATCTCAATTAATGAGTTACGTAGACATTTTGACGTACTTAGGCATGTGCTCCTTTCGCTTTTGAACAACGTTATCTTAACTGGAATCATTCCGATACAAATGAAAACTGCGGTGGTTACTCCGCTGTTTAAGGGTGGTGCGCGTAAAAGCATAGAAAATTATCGACCTATTTCAATTTTGCCTTGTATTAGTAAGGTGTTGGAGAAACATTTGTACATTTCTATGGAAAGTTTTTTAGACAAGCACAGTATTCTTTCACCTCATCAGTATGGTTTTATTCAGGGTCGAGGGACACAGACGCTTCTAGAGGATTTTTCTGATATACTGAATTCAACTTTTGAACGGAATCAGGTTGCTTGCGCACTGTTCTTGGACGCCAGCAAAGCTTTTGACAGCGCATGCCATCGACTTTTGCTAATGAAACTTTCTAAATTAGGATTTCGTGGCCCCTTTTTAGTACTCCTAGAAAACTTCCTAAGCGATCGACGACAGTGTGTTTCAATTGGGCGTTTTCAGAGCGCATTTTCGTCAATCAAAGCTGGTGTACCGCAGGGGTCAGTTTTGAGCCCATTACTGTTCAATATTTATGTTAATGACCTCCACAACGCTGTGCCAGTTTCGTTATTTCAATATGCTGACGATACGGTTATTTTATCCAGAGCTACCAATTATTTAGATGCAATCTCCTCTCTGCAAGCTGCTGCGAATAAAACTATGGACTGGTTTGCAGCTAATTTAATTATTGTTAATGCTTCGAAAACGCAGCTCATTTGTTTTCATAACCCCTTAAAGAAAGTTAGACCCAGCTATCCTTTACTGTTACATGCGTCCAATTGTTTATCGTGTGCTTGTGAGCCGGTACAATATACATCAACTGTGAAGTATCTTGGTATTTTTTTCGACGGTGATCTTTCCTGGAACTCCCACCTTGCTTATATTTGTAAGAAGATTCGTTCAGTGTCTTGTCTGATGTACAAAATTCGATACTATATGCCGTTATCAGTACGAAAAGTTATTATACATGCTCTGGGCTACAGTGTACTTCGTTATGGCATTTCTGTGTACGGTCATTGCGCCCAACGTTGGCAAACCAGAATTAACACAATACTTCGTTCTATGTTACACAACATTTCCTATGACTTAGGCCTCGATAAAAACATTGATGTGTTCGCGACTCTATCTATGCCAAATTTTAACTCATTATTCATTGAAACTGTCGTGCATAGACATTTCTGGGATAGCAGTTTTAAGACTCCCTGCCCGTAATCTCAGACCGAAAGAGCGATATTGGACACCTCGGATTTCTACAAGACATGGTAAAAGAACCCGATTGTATTATGTTCCAGCATGCTTTAATAAACTCCCGTCGTGTGTTATTGATGCCACAACAAAGTACAAACTGAAGAAAGCGCTGAGAAACATTACTGTATAACCTCCCCCCCCCCCCCCCCCCCCCCACATACATTTTGGTTGTTTTTTGGTTTCAGTTTTTGATTTCGTTTATTTTTTTATTTTTTTATGTACTCTATTTGTGTGTGTTTCGTTTGCCGGCTGCCAGACGCTGCCAGACAAGCCCAATGAGGCTTTGGCAGGTCTGTAATTGTTTGTGTACTTTACATGCAATAAAAATTATTATTATTATTATTATTATTATTTCACAGCGCCTTTCAGCAAAGTGAGGGAGCGTAAGAACACGCAATCGAAACGCGACCTAAGAATATTCAATTTTTCTCGCAACGGGCGCTGCTGAAAACTTGAGAGCTGCAGACCTATTGCTTTTCAAAGTTCCTTCTGGCCGCCCTCCATTTGTGTTTACAACCTTTAGACACCAGTAATCGTCGCATAAATTGTACCGCCTCATTCGCTTAATGTTTC